AAGAAAGAAAACGAAAAGGCAAACGAAAAAGAAGAAAACGAAAAGGGAAAAAAAGGAAAAGAAAATGAAGACGAAAAAAAAAAAAAGAAAAAGAAAGAGAAAGAGAAAAAGAAAGGGGAAAAGGAAAAGGAAAAAGAAAAAGAGAAAAAGCACAAGAGCTGGAAATCCCAGAACCAGAGCCCTGTTCTCAGGGCCGCTCCGGAGGACAGCGCGCCAGCGGCGCTGGGCTGCCCACGGGGCTCCGCAGATGCCGGGCACACACGGCCCGGGGGCCTCGCAGCGCCGGCAGCAGCGCGGGGTCTTTGAGCTCCCGGACTTACCTGGGGATGTACCTGGCCTCGTCTCCCAGCCGCACCTCGAAGTCTCTCCAGGGCTGCTCCAGCCCCGCGGTGCTCCACGTCGCCGCCGCCTCCTCGCCCTCCTCCTCCGGCTCCGGTTCCCCAGGGCCGCCGCTGGACCGCCGCCGGGTGGCGCCGCGGAAGCCGCGGGCGAACTCCCTGAAGGTGATGGCCCCGTCACGGTCGCTGTCGAGGCGCTGGAAGATGGCCTCGGCCTCGGCCGGCCGCACCCGCAGCTCGGTGCAGAGTGCCGCGAAGTCCTCGCGCTCGATGCGGCCCGAGCCGTTGGCGTCGCAGGCCAGGAAGAGCGCGCGCAGGCGAGACTGCTCGTCCCCCGCCGCCTCGGCGTCCATCGCTCCCGCTGGCAGCGCTGCCGCGCGGCTCCTGCGCCCGCGGCCGGGACGGGGCGAGAGGCGGCGGCTCGAGCCGGCGGCCCCACTCCGCCGGGCGTTCGGTGGGGCGGGGCGGGCCGGCCCCACTCCCCGCTCCGCCCCGGTGCCCGTCGAGCCGAAGGGAGGCGGGCCGCGGGCGATGGCTCGCGGCGGTCGCGAACGCGGCGGTGGCCCCGGGCGAGGAGTGCGGTGGGGCGGGGGTTGCTGCGGGGCACGGGCGGTGCCGCCCCCTTCGCCCCGACGCGCAGCTCGGCTCTCCTCGCAGCCCCGCCGGAGCCGGAAAGGTCTCCAGGAGGGAGCCGGCGGGTGCCGGGCCTCGGCTGCCCTGGGCTGGTGCTCCCGGTGGTGCTAACGGCATCACAGGCACTGCGGTAACACGGCGGATGGACCGTTCACCTGAAATACCAGAATGGGAATGCCAACGCTGTTGCAGATGCCACAGTCTTAAACCTCAGTCCTGTCTTCCAGCAGTGCAAAAACAGCACGGCAATGAGCCCCAAGGTTTCCATACGTAGATTCTTTCTGACCGCTTTGGAGGCGCATGTAAAATCATAGAATATCCTGAGCTGGAATCTCAGAGTTTAATGTCTACATTGTAGAGAAAGTGCATGCTACTATTCAGACAAGTCCGTAATTCAGACAAGTACATCATCAAAATAGCGAGCAAAAAGCTGGGCAAATCAGTCAACCAAAGGACCCATATTTTAGTGCTTAGTATAGAAGAACTCTGTATTACACTGCATGTCTTGACAAGTCAAGACCATTCACTGTCTTGAAGTCTTTGGTAAAAGTTCACATTTCATTGGAACCTCAGAGGAGCATTAGGATAGAGGTTAGGGACAGGCTTTTCCCCAGAGGGCAGTGGACATGGAACAGGTTCCCCAGGGCAGTGGGCACAGCCTCAAGCTGGCCAAGTTTGAGGAGCATATGGATAATGCTCTCAGGCACAGGGGTTGGATTTTGGGTGGTCCTGTGTGGAGCCGGGAGATGGATTCATCGGTCCTTGTGGGTCCCTCCCAAACTGGGATATTCTGTGACTCGTTTAAATTCTTAACACAAATGTTTTTAATTTGCCTGCACTTATTTCTGTGTCTATCTGCAGATGTAAACTGCATATGCCAAAGTTGTGATAGAGTTAAACAGAATGCAAATCTACCTGCTAACAAAACCATGTTTCCTTATTGACTGAAGTACAGCCCCAGGGCAAGGACGTGATCCAGAAGAGCACAAACCATTCAGCTGACCTCTCATTTCAATAAATCACATATGGTAAATGGAGTATAAAGTGCTTCTCTGCCTAAGAGGTGTGGAATGTCCTAGAAGCAAATTATAATTATTTTACAGGTTTTCCTTTTTTTTTTTTTTTTTTTTTTTTTTTTTGCCAGAGTTAGACAGAGTCAGCTTAAAATTCTGCCGTCAATCTATCTCTAGTCAATAAAAAGGTATACAAAGCTTTCTCTTGCACTCTACATAAATGCAGCTATTTAGTAATTTGAAATACAAATTTTAGTTTAAAGATAGCAGAGAATCTGAAGGGCTGTGCTACATGATTTATTTTTGTCACTATGTTTCTGTTATAATTATAAAATTACTAAGTGTAGCAAAGCAATATCACCCTTGGATTCTTATATCATAGCAAAATATGGAGTTTTAGTAAAGCGGAGTTAAGAGTAGAGTTCTTTCTGTTCTATATTTTCTTACCTGTCAAAGAACATTTTGTACTCAAAGAGTTAACCGAGTCTATCAGAGAGTTCTTACAGGGCTGATGATGCTACTGTTCAGCCAACACATAAGACATTTATCCTGTTTACACCCACCAGCCTTCTTGTAATAGACTGACACTTAACTTTCAGTATTGCCAAGGCTGCATCATCAAGGGTGGAATGAGTTTCGCTGGACAAGTAGTTCCCAGGCAAATTTATTTGCTAACCTTATATGCTCTTCTGACTGCAGACTTATGTGGTGATGTTTGTCCTGTACCCTAGCCACTCTTTTACTCACTCCATTGTGCATAGTTCTTATGCTAGTGCTTACTTTGGCTACCAAGGAGAGGACATACACTTTGGACACATTGCCCCCATTTTTTTTTCTCTGACATTTAACATTTTAACATCATAAAGTCTTTCTACATAATGCTGTTCTAACAGGACTTTGGGTTTTAGAACACAAGGCAATGGCATGGAGCTGTTACTGGGATGGGTAACATGGGATATCAGGAAATGATTCTTCACCAGAAAATAGTGGGCATGGACAAGGATCATCAGAGCAGGAGCCACAGTCACAGGCTGCTGCAGTTCAAGGAGCATTAGGACAATCCTCTCAGACACAGGGTTTGCATTTTGGGTGGTCCTGTGTGGAGCCAGGGGTTGGATCTGATGATCCTTCTGCGTCCCTTCCCCACAATCAGAGAATTACAGAGGTTGGAAGAGTACATTGAGCAGGTACCATACAATAGGTCACACAGGTAGGCATCTAAATGGGTCTCAAATATCTCCATAGAGGAGATTCCACAACCTCCATGGCAACCTGTTCCAGTGCTCTGTCACCCTTACCATAAAGTTCTTCCACATGCTAATACAGAACTTCCTATGTTCAAGTTTTAGGCCATTGCTCCTTATCCTATCACTACACACCACTGAGAAGATCCTGGCCTCATCCATTTACCTCCCACCTTCCTTTAGATATTTATAAACATTAATTAGATATTCCCTCAGTCTTCTTTTCCCCGGGTTGAGCAGACCCAGGTTCCTCAGTCTTTTCTCATAGGGGAGATGCTCCAGACCCTTAATCATCTTTGTGGCCCTCTGTCAAACTTCTTCTAGGAGACCCCTAAATTTTTGAACAGGGAAGCCCAGAACTGGACACAGTATTGTAAATGGGGTCTCACCAGGGCAGAGTAGAGGCAGAGCATCATCTCCCTCAACCTGCTGTCCACTCTTTTCAATGCACCCCAGGATATCACTGGCCTTCTTGGCCAAGAGGGCACACTGTTTGCTCCACCAGGACCCCAGGTCCTTCTCAACAGACCTTCTCTTCAGCAGATCAGCCCCTAACCTGTACTGATGCAACTCAGAATATTCTGTGATTCTGCAATTCTATTTACCTTCCTAATGAAAAAAATCTGCATTTTTGTTTTCTTAAGCAGCTTGATCTTTCTATCTATGTGACACGATAAAAAACAAATGGAAATCTTCCCATTAATATTCAGTTTTGAATCAAGAGATAAAAATGTATTGCAGTATTTGTCAATGCAACATCTACTTGATCCAGACTTCTGGCTTCATAAGCAGACAGTCACTTGTGGATTCAGTGAATAACTGCATTGAGTTTATATGGCAAGGTCTAGCCAGCTGGGAGGAAAAGGGGAAATTTTTCATTTTATGTTCTCCTATCCTGCAGAAGAAAGGGCATGAGCAAGCAGCTGTGGTGCTGAGCTGCCTATCAGTAGTAAACTACAACATCGTAAAAGAGAATTTGCTCTTTCATTTTTACTGTTGCCAGAATTTTGGACCATGGATATCAGGATGAAATACATTGTGCCTTTTAGCACTGACATGGAACAGGTATACTCTGCAAAACAGATGGTGCCTTCAGTATTGCACAACGCCAGATAACAGTTCTTGCTAGGCAGAGTTGGTTTAGTTAGAATGTCCCAGTGTGCCAGAACAGAGATAGGAAAGAAAATATTTTTCATTTGTTGAGATCTAAGATTGAGTACTGAAGGCAAGACTCCCATCAGGCAATGAGAAGGGAGTGCTTTCTTCTGAAATTATACGTTTTCTCCCAGGATTTGTTCCTTCAACCAATCTCTAAATTAAATGACTACATAAAAGCCAAATATTTATTTTTAGTGCCCTATTAGAGCAGATATGGTACAGGAGAATTCCAAATTCCAAATACCTTGCATAGGCAAGGTACCAAGACTGCTGGTACAAATACACCCCATATGTAATTTCAGTCTATTTTATTTTATTATGTCAAGGCACACACCAAGTAGATTCAGCACCTGCTTGGCTCAAGTAGCATTAAAAAAAACCATGAAACCATGGTCAGGAATCTCCAGGAGACCTAAGATTATACACTGTATCACTATGTGAAAGTATCTACATGAAAGTGCCCTAATGTGCCGAAGGGAAAAAGTATATTCTGATGCAGCTGTGGGTACAGAGGTTAAATTAAATTTAAATTTAATTAAATTTAATTAAAATTAAAATTGAAAGAGACATGGAATGTGGCATCAC